TGCGGGGAACTCTGCAAAAAACGCATCTTCGCACGGGCAGCCCGTGCGTTGGCCATTTATTTCTTCCTCTGTTCTTTATCGTAACCCAGAAGATTCCTGATAAAGCATTTTGAAAAATGCAGTCGAACAGAAAACAAAAATGGTAAAAAACTGAAAGAAAAAGTCATTAACACTTCCTCAAGTAACTGATGCAAGATTTGATGTAAATTTCCTTTCTTTCATGCAGAATACTTCTTCACACAGTATATACTAATATTTGAAGTCTTAGCTTTCTATAACTGCCTGTTTTATTGTAGAATCAACAGCACCGGGACCAATGCCAGTAACAGGCGGTTAGTATCCAAATTATATTCGAACGAGCACAAAGAAGCCAGAGCACTAGCAAGCAGAGATTTTCGACCTTATTCTCGTCATATGCGGTCCAAATGTTTCAAATTTAGCTTTTACATATGTTTGCGTCTCATATAACGATACGTGAAATTTTTAGTGGGAAATTTAGCAGTATAGATTGAAGCGGCTCCTAATTTGCTTCTGGAGTAAGCCCTGGCAATTAAAAGCCGTCGGCAGATTTACGGCTTGTGGTGGCTGCAACCTTGGGCTGCTTTCTAGATCTCCGCCTCTCATAAAAGTGAAGTATGAAAGACTTCGGAACTTTTAACATCATTATTTTCTTGAGAATTTTAGCATTTCATCAGGGTTTTATGGATCTGCCTTTCCTGAGTATTGTGCTGTTTGGGTTTTTTTAGCTCTCTGGTTTTTCTGGCTGAAGTTTTGAAATATTTTGCAGGTGTGGTCGCAGTGTCCGAAACCAATTATGAAGTTGGTATTGAGTTACCTTCAGCATCTTTCACGTCCACTTTTTATTTAAATCTTCTCCCATACCTCAAGCCAGAACACTGCTTAAAAAGTCTCTAAGCGTACCATATTTTGTTCCAATATAATTGCTTCTCCGCTAGTACTCTATTAACAGTATGCAGCATTTATAATTTGCAGACAGTGCCTGGCTTGAATCAGGCATTGGGAGGTGGTGCAAAACCGGCTAACGTAGTAGGAGCACCGGCTCCGTCCAATATTGCTCCTGGTGCTGGTGGTGGTGCTCCGGCAGCTCAAGGACCACAAGCACCTGCACAAGGAGGTGTTGCCGGTGAGTAGGTCTTCCGGAATTGCTTTGAGCTTTTTGTTTTCTTTTCAAGAAAAATGGTTAGCCATCTAAATGTAGCACAAAATCACCTATGGATGAAGGCAATTTCTATGCGCCCGCTGAACGCAAAGTGAGACGGAATACAGGGGATCAGAATTTGCGGACAAACGATGTGCTCAACAAATCTCTATATTTTGGGAAAAACAGTGACTGTAAGTAGAGTTTTATTTAAGCAGAAAAAACCAGAACGGGAATGTTTCACCAACCCATTCATGCCCAGGGTGCCAACAAGCTTAGCAGCATATATTAAGCCATTGTATTTAATAATTTTTCCATAGACCTGAAAATGCACCACTGCAAATTGCACTTCACACAACTTCAAAATCTTTTTAGGAACTTTCGATCCGAATTATCAGACGCTTGCTGGGGTTGGTGGTGAAGTATTTGGCGAAGATAAAAAGAAAGCTGGTGGCGGAGGAGAAGGAGAAAAACCAAAAGCGCCAGTAGGAGGTGGCATGGCTGGTGAGTTTAAGATTACACAGATTTTTATTAGCCAGGAATTATTGGCTGAGAAGCACCGTGCACTGCCAAGTGAGACTGCTTTCATGTAAAAGGTTGACTGTTTGACTTTGCGGATGGAACAAGCAATCTCTTCGTCGTTTATTCATTTGCCTGACAGCAGAGGGCGCTGATACATGCAAAGGAGAAATCATTATCAGCTTGCTTATAATCAGCCATAAAGCAGTAGTCATCGACAACTGTTTAACTGCGGCTGATGCGTGTTACCACTAAGTAAGCTACTCTGAAGTGTCTTTGCTTCTTCTCGCGGAACTTAGGCTTTTAGCTTAGTATTGTCGATTTCTCTTAAAGTGCTTCGTATAGTAAAATTTTTTAATAATGTAATATGAAGTTATGAGATAAGATGGGATAATGACTGGTTACAGGCCACTGTGGATGGCGTACTGATTCGGCTCTGTGGTTAAGCGCCTAACCCAAAGATACTTTGTGAGACATATCTGAGCAGTACAGTGCTTGACTTTGATAATCCTGGGACATATACCGAATGATAGGCTGTCCGGGACTACGCTCCGTACTGGACTAAACAGCACGACTAGTGCGAGACGCACTGATACAAGCCCTGGCTTCCTACGAAAAGATCTAGCTCCACTACTTAACTCTTTAGAAGCTGCTATCTTCGAGCCCTATCCTGACTAGTGTGTAAAACACTTACCCGTATGCAGCCGTCGAACTGCACCGCGAAGAAGGAGTAGGCACCGCTGCTATGCTAGTGGTGCTCCCGAAGAATGAATTCCCCCCAATGAGTGACGGCTGAATGCTGTCGGCCAATAATACACAAGCAGACGCCGATGAACCTCCGAATAACACTGATGAAGACTGATTACTGTTGTTTATTTTCCTCACCTTTTATATTATTTCGGGATAGGCCAGTGCTATGTTCTTTCTCACGGAAGCGTGATTTGTGACTCTTCGTATGTCCAGAACGTTGTTGATAATATTCTTATGAGGTGCCCATGAGCGAAGTCTAACAAGCGACTAAATCTATTTATAAGGGTGGAGCTAGGGACTTTTACGATTTTGTGATCACTATAATATTTGAATATAGTTTGCATTTGAAAAATCAAATTTTTTGAAGAAAATGCTCTCCTAACTTGTATCTAAAAGTATTTAGTATAAAAAGACGGTAAAAAACACTGAATGTTGTCATTAAGCATTACCACTATTCAGTGCATGAAGCCGCTCGCATTCCTCCTTACAAACGAATAACAGCACCTCATGAAAGACGATAGCAGTGCTGCCACATACACCTGTATTTTACAGGAACATTTGATCCTAATTACCAAACACTTGCCGGAGTCGGCGGTGAAGTATTTGGCGAGGATAAGAAAAAGGCTGACGGTGGAGGCGAGGAACCGAGAGCTCCAGAGCAAAAAGATGCAAAGGCTGGTACATTCGATCCCAACTATCAGGTATGTCGTACTTCAGTAAAGCTTTTTCTTTCAGTAATCTTCACTGTATAATAAACAGGCAAGGAAGATGCAATTTCTTTTAAATAATACTTGACAAAATCAAACTTCAACTGTTCCCCAAAACCGTTACACGCAATATCGCCGAAGAAAAAGGATTTAAAATCAAATACCGAAACACTCGAATTTTCTTCAAATGGACCTTAAGAAAATTTGCTTTTATTGATGCACATAACAAAAATAATGGTAGAAAGTAGTACAAATTAACTGATAATAGCAAATGGAACACAACATAATTAACAACGATGAGGTATGCCTGCAGTAGTTTTAACTGCTTACAAAAAATATTTACTAAAGCTTGGCTTAAACACAGACAGAGATGCACCGAGTTTGACAGCGCCATCGTGCGCTTTTGCGTGATTTCGTCCTGCACAGAGATTGCCTGTTCTTGGGTACTATTACGGCTTCACAATAGCAGGGGCTAACATCTAGGGGTTCCCATCCTAATTTAACAAGAATATCTGTTAGGTAGAATGGCATTCGTCTATGCCGCTGGTCGAGACACTTCAAAGATAGCTGGAACGAAAAGCGCTTTCCCAATCATCCATGCTAAGGAGCTGAAGTTTGAAATGTTTTATACCAGTGTGTGGCCCAAACATTGCAAATTCTGCTTGAAAGCACGCCTGGGTCTCGCTTGCGTGCAAGTGAATATTTGGTTCGGGGCACTGTCAGCAGCCATTTAACTGGTTAAAAGGAAGCTTTATTTTTCTAAAAATGTTTGCTGTTGAAGTGCTGACACACATAAGTTCCTGGGTGGACATGAGTCTTGCGTACAGCGTACAAAATGTCCAAATTGCGACACTGTTGTCACATTCTAGCAATACATTGCCTCTTTCTAAAGGATGTAGTCGTGCAAAATGCGTGATCGCACCCGAAGGCCTGTTGCCTCGTTTCACAGATTTATTCTTTCGCAATGAATTTTCTTCATAAACGTTTTTGCGATGCATTTCACAGATGTCATTTAACAAAGAATTCCTTCACATTTTAATGGCCATCCACAATTTGTTTAGACGCTTGCTGGCGTTGGCGGCGAAGTATTTGGTGAAGATAAAAAGAAAGCAGCTGAAGGGCCAAAAGCTCCCGAGAGGAAGGATGAAAAAGCTGGAACATTTGATCCAAATTACCAAACGCTTGCCGGTGTTGGCGGGGAAGTATTCGGTGAAGACAAAAAGGCTAAAGAAGTACCAAAAGCACCGGATAATAAGGATGCTAAAGCTGGAACTTTCGACCCTAATTATCAGGTATAAGAATTCTAGATGGAGTAGTTTAAACAAGGTTTCTGAAGAATTTTGCTGGGCGCAAGGTGACTTGGAGCTCACTGTTTCCAAAATGCTTTATACAACCAGAATAACCAGGATACAAGGCAATTTGAAAGGTAATTTTAGGACTGACTCAGGTGGTCGGGAATTCGTAACAAAATTTTCAATTCTCACTTTTTGTATTCTGCGCTTCTAACTGGTGGATTTATTTGTTAGAAAAACTTTCCGTTTTAGCAACAAAAAGCGCAATATAGCATACTTTGATGCGTGAGACAATACAGTTTTTGCATTTCTTTTCATAAGTACGATTTGCCAAAACCGATGCATTTTCTCTTGTTCAGTTTCAAATGCCAACAAATTTACAGTTTTTCATTTCTTTTTTTTTTTCTTGAAAAAATTTTTTCGGATCTGCCACCTTAGACAGGACTAAAAAGGGGCTTTAGCCATTTTTCACTGCACTAAATAAGCTTTTTTACAGCCTTAAGCTCAAGATTTATCCATCATAAGTGTGCCTTATCGTAAATTAAGCAACTTAAAATTAAAAAAATTATTTGGCCTAGCCTAATCATTTAGGTGAGATCTTCCCACAAAAACCTAAGGCTTTGGCTTATCGCCATTTTTTA